TTCAGCCTGACAGCTACTGAAGCTGGCAGGCACTGCACTCCAATTTCAGTACTAAATGTCAGGTCTCAGAAGCTCCTGGACTTCAAATTGATCATTTGGTCAATCAGTTGAAGTAAAACATAGACATAACCACTCAGAATGTGTTTGAGGAACTTTTATCTTTCTTTATCAGAAATATGGTCAATCTGTCATATTCTTTTGTAAAATATAATTGGATGAAAGATCTACATAGCAAAATTTAAAATGTACCTCTGGAAATGCATTTCACTGACTTGATCTTAAGATCAGTGTATTATCAGTCTAGGTGATCACTATGCTGTATGCGACTCCTGAAATTTATTGATATCTTCATAGACATCTGTAGCTTGATGTCTTTATCTGTCTCAAATAAAGAAGGCAGGAGATACTAATTCAATGTCTTTTTGCTATGGGGAGTTGCTTTGAAGAATATCATAGTTCCTCCCACTGAAGTAAAGAACGAAATGTTTCAAAGGACTCTTGATAACCTGGAAATCTGAAGTCTGAAACAATCACCTGCCTCCTGAATCTGACTGGTGGAGGGGTAAAAAAAGAATCTGTGGACATGCTTTGTAGTACAGTGAATCAAGTCTATTCTTTTTTCCCTTTTTTAAGCCTGTTGGGCTTCCAAAGATGCTATTTCTGACCTAGAAAGATATTTTAGTGCATGCAGGTGTTGTACTTAGCTTTTTGTTGAGGCAAATCTTATTTTCTCTGTTTGTTAAAGAAGATAAATTTGTAAGTCATTGAATATGAATCCAAACTTTATATTTGCCATCTTATTTCAGATTCAGCTGATTGAATCATGTAAAATATCTTTACTTACTACTTCCTCATGACTGATGCCTGTATCTCCTTATGTGGGTTCTTATTCCTAATCTTGTCTCTCCAGTATCTTAAAGACTAGTTCAAAATCAAGATTCATTCTGAACTCAGTCCTTTCAGAGCTCAAAGATTTAAACCTCCATTTGGAGATCTACTTCATTTGTTCCCCTCCTTCATTTGTGCTCTCTGTTGCTCGTCATTTCTATTTCTTAAGTGGGAGCATAAATAAACTTTTACATCCCAGCCATTGGTTTTCCAGCTCTTATTCATTTGTAACATTTGAATATTGCAGATTTTTATAGTGGACTCTTAAACTTTATTATGCAGTGGTGATCTGCTAGCTGTGTCATAGAGCCATGCTCTGTGTAATTGCAGAGTAGAATTTATTAACCAAAATTTTTATAGGATAATACGGTTCTTGAACCAAAGATAGTAGCAGGAATCTGTACTTTGTGTTGAAAGACTGATTTAATTAATACAAAACTATAGTGAAGGAGAGGAAGTGCTATCATTTCTGATGTGTGGTTAAGACTTGATCACACTTGCTTGATAAGTAACATGAGGCTGTTTTTCAAAATATTGTATCGAATGTAATTGGGAAAGATGTTTGATATCCTCTACTTGTTTAACATAAATTTCAATATATTTTTAAGACCATAAAATATAGATTTGTCTACATAGTCTTTAAAGTGAATTGAAAAAAATTTTTTAAATTAATTAAAAGCTATCATTCAATCCCAATGTATATTCTTGATCCAGTGAAATAAGTAACAATATTATAAATAGAAGTTAGATAATGGTCCAATTAAATATTTAATAGTAAATTGCATTTAGTTTTGTGGGTTTTTTCATGCAAGATAACTTGCAGTTTGATCCATGGCAGGGGATGGGGGTGGGGATCCTTATTGGATTCCAGGCATGAAGTAATTTATTCTCTTTTTTTCTGATACAGGAGGTAGCTACAATTATGACTTTATATATCTCGGTATACTGCAATATCTGTTCTTTAGGCAGTGCTTGTGAAGCAATGAAGCATAGTTTTTCATATAAATGTTGACATGATTGGTTTGGCACTTTTAAAATTAAAAAGTCTATGTAACACAGGAGGCCATATAAAGTAGTTCCATTTTAACTATGGAGATTTTGGGGGGCCAGTTACAACAGACATGTTGGGGCTCCATTTTGAATTTAAAAGTAACATTGTTAGATTTTTACAGTGATTTGAAATAGGGTTGTTTTGTAAGCCTTTTTTGGCAAGACTGTTGAATCATTTTTTCATTTGTCAGAGGAATACATTTTCGTGATGTAAACAAACACAAAATTTTGTGAAATTTTAAATTCTTGTTCTTTGTGGGAAAGCTTGTTGTTTTACCTATTCAGTTAGCAGGCTGAGTCAAACTAAATAGCAGTAACAATCCCTTTTGCCTTCAAAACCTATGGCTATTTTTACAGTACTTAAAGTATTTCATGGGGGGTATGTAAAGAGGGATTAAATGACAAGTACCTTGCTGTAACTTTCCTAATTATCAAGACAAACTGTGAAATTGATATATTAATAAGAATTGGGGAGGAGGTGGTTTGTTTGTAGCGCTTAAGGTCTGTAGGAATGAAGAAATGAGTAAAACGATGCTAAGAAATCAGCAGAAAGGTGATTGAAATTGTAATTGTAAATAATTGTTCAACTTCTTAGTCAAATAACGACAAACACTGTACATATGGCCATATGAAAAATTATGCAGTGCACTAAACTACTATTGACCTTGCTGTGTCATCTGTGCATTCTTTGTTCTGTTTGTTTTGTATATAAAGCTTTATGAAAGTCTTTAATTGAATAATCAATCTGAAGTTACTTTTTCCTTTAAGAACTTCCTGCGTTCATGTAACATGGACCTGCTGTGGAAATTAAATGAATCAAGGCTGTGTTGCTAGAGGCTGTTGTCTCCTAGTCTTATCTGTTGCAAGTAGTGAATGAGGCAGGGAAATTTGTGAAGATAAGAATGGTCTGGGCTTATAGGCAGTTGAATATCACACTGGAGAAATGTATTCTCTGTATGCCTCTGCAGTAGAAATGTTTGCACAATTCCATGCAATTTGTTTAACTCGGCCTTTCCACAGCGTTTGTCATTCCAAGAGCCTGTGTCTTTAAGTGATTTTCAGAAGTGTGAAACAATTTTAAGAAATAGATACATGAACCAAGGTAGTTTGAAGTAGTGGTCTGAGTAACTGTGGCATTTCCAGGACGGGGAAGGCTACAGATATATCAAATTGACCTGAACTTAATTGATAATTTTATACCATTGGTTTCTCTGTAGCTCCGTTCCTTGTCTCTGGGAGGAGACTATTGGGGTGGTTTTACCTCCACAGGGATGCTAAAACTAGAAAATCATAACTGAAGTTCTCTGATGCTTTCAGCATGTCAGCTGTGATTTGTCAGTAGAGTTTACACAGGCTAGATTTTACTGCTGCATTTAATATTGCTATTTCTGATCAAAGAATAAACTTAAAAAAACAGGAATTCTGAGTTCTGTTTTGGAGTGTTCTAGTGACCCCTCTTCAGTTCATCTTCATCATGGTGTCTTCTACTCTTTGTTGGCTACTAATGTCCCCTCTCAGTGCTTTGTCCTCTGTATTTTATAGCTTGTTCTTTACTTTTTTCATATGTTTGAGTGCCAGCAGAGACTGAGATTTAAGCTACGGGGTAAAGTGTGCCTATTTAGCACCACAAAATTCAGCAGCCTGAAGCATTTGGCTGGATCAGACAGGGCACATACAGAGTATCTAGGATGTAGCTGCTACAGCTGCACATGCATCTTCTCCTTAACAACCTTAAATAACCTAAATTTTCATAATATGCTTTTTTTTTTTAAACTGCTTACCAGAACACTGATAATGCAAATGTTCTTTTGGGGTTTGGTTCAGAAGCTTTGGGTCACAACAATATAATGTATGAGAATCCATACAATTTATTTCAACTGCAAATTTGTTTTAAGCCATTTGTGCCAAAAGATTTTCAAAATTAAGACTGTAAACATTTTACACACACTTTATTACACTCTCTTTAGGTGATTTTAATTTAGTTGGAAATGGTGAATGTTGAGTTTTCAGCAAAAGCAAAGCTTGATCAAGACTCAGCCCAAGGGATAAAGCAGAACTGTAGCTGGGACAGAGAAGAAGATTTTCACTATTTCTTAGTTAAACTTAATGCATTGCATTAGAATTGTTTAAGGTGTTTTCTTTATAGATGTTAATTTAGTATGCACTGCCTATTAGACAAATAATGGAGATGGTATGTGAGAATACAAAATATCTGCAATGACAATCAGTGCTGGCTTCTATTACCTAATTTCTGAAACAGTTACCCTTAATTCAAGCCCAGACTGAGTCTACAGCAAATATTCCACAGGCAGAGGGATCTTTTAGGGAACACTGTCACTACTTTTACCTGAGTTTACACTTTCTGAGAATGCTGTTAGTATTTAACCACACTGTAAGCTTCAAGCACAGGTTGTAAGGGAGATTGTTTCTGATTTGTCTCTTCCTTCCACTTCCCGATTTCTCTGCCAAGCAGAGAGACCTCCAGGAAGAGAGCCATTAGAAAGTACACTTTGAAAACAAATAGAAAAATATTCAGATGCCACTTAACATTTGCATTTTGGTGGGGCTAAGGCGGGATTCTAAAGGAAAGTTCTCAATACCTGTAAGACGTGCTTAGTTTGCGGCAAAGCAACAAACATTTTTTGTAATTTTGGATATGTACATTTTTACATTAAGAAATTATTTGTGTTCATTAAATGTGAACTGAAGCCATTATAGATGAACTTGATGTTTTCTGATTTCTGAATGCCTTTTTTCTACTAATTTTTATTACCTAAAATTCAAGCTACAGATTAATTTGTAAGAGCTTAATATTGTCTCCTTTTTGAAGGGCGAGGAGAGAGTTCAAAAACCTTTGAACACATGAGAGCAAATCCTTTATTTTGGAATGTTTCCTCCGTGGTTGGCATCAGAGTTTTGAAGTGTTCGAAGTGTTGTACGAGCCTATACGAACATCTTTGGGCACACAGAAGAAAAATATGCATATAGTTCTGACTCTAGAATGCAAGATTTCTTTCTGTTCCCTCCAGTGAGGCTGATCAGCATTTTTATTTGTCCCGCAGGGGTTGTTCAGAACTTTGTCGTATACCCATGGTGGAATACAAACTTGACAGTGAAGGCACCCCATGTGAGTATAAAACCCCTTTCAGAAGGAATACCACTTGGCATCGGGTGCCGACTCCCGCTGGGCAGCCTCTCTCTCGTGCCTCTCCAATCCTAGGAACATCTGACAGACTGCAGTGCCAGCAGCTTCTCCAGCAGGCTCAGACAGCCATTCCTCGCAGCACTTCCTTCGATAGAAAACTGCCAGATGGTGCGAGGTAATATCCTCTCCATTTAACGCCTGTCGTTTTCCTAATGTGCTTCTAGATATCTCTGCTTTCTAGAACTTTGGTACGCTTATTTTTTAAACCTTATTTTGTTGAGTTTTGAGAGTCATTTTAATTGGGAGTTGTATTAAAGAGCATTCACTGAGCCCAGTTCCCTCTACTTGAAACAAGTGACTTTTGTTGTTTGTGGTGGAAGTGGAGTGTACTCAGGATCCTAACCCTGGGGACAGCTAACCTTTTCCTTTAATCTCAAATCAGCAAAGTGGGAAACTGCCTTGTGATTTTTTGATCAAAACAGTGTCCTGTCCCCCACCTTTTGGGAGCCTATTTAAACAAATAATGAGTGTAAATAAAATGAACTCATCCCTTTAAAAATGAATTATTTAATCTCATTACCAAGCTATTGGCATAGTTTCAAAGGGTTCTGTAACTCATTACCAGTCCTTATGCTTTGCTTTGCTTTTAATTAAACAAAGCAGAGCTTGTGATTTGAATATGTAACATCTCTTAGATGATGGGATGGTATCCTTAAATATTAGCTCTGTTTTAATTTAATCATGATTCTTCATAAAATAAAAATTTATTTTTAAAGTTAAAAGTTTGTAAATACATTTGACCTTTGACTTATTTAGAAAAACCATATATCTTGAGCAGAATTCTGTCCTTTATTGTTTGCAATTATTTCCATTTATGCACTTTTTCTGTGAGGTGATGTAGTTCTACTTTCCAAGGAAAAAAATGCTGCTTGTTGAAAATACCTAATTGATATGTAACCCATTGTTTGAAATATATACAGATAATAGTAGTACATATTTGAAAATATGTCTATTTCATAGTCTGAGGAAGGCAGACTCTTAGTTATGACCATTTGATCATTTGTATTCTCCTTACCCCCTGAAAAAAAGGAGAGGTGCATTTCTGTAAGCATATCTTGTACCATTATAGGACTTACGCTTTTCCTAATGTCTTATTACTGAAATTGTCAGTAACATCTAGCACAAGGAGACAACATATCAAATGTTAGAAAATCTTCAGTATTTATGGAGCTTTATTAAGCATACTGTGTGCCTATACAGAGAAAAAAAATGAAAGCTTTCTGACATAACTACTCATTTTCAAAAAACTTCACAAACATAAGTTGCACTTCTCCTAACACTTAGTGAAGCATGTGCAAAAATGCTACGACAGAGGCTATCTCTTGTCCTGAAGAAGTTCCTGTATCACTTAAACAAAACAAATGCAATGCAGAAATGCTGTCTGGGGAAGACATGGTACAGAGTATAAATAATTAAAAGAGAGGAAAATTGTGAACTGTGACATGTGCCCTAGTTGGCAAGGTCTGTCCACGTGGGAAGAGGCATAGTTGATGGCTTGACAAGAGAGATGGGCTTAATCCAAAAGAGTTTGAAGTAAGGTTGATTAGTACTTATAAGTAGTCTTGCAAGGGTGAAAATGTATACTCAGGCTAGGAAAATGATGAAGATATTTTAGAGGGTCAGAGACCAAATATCAATTTAGACAAATTGAAGAGTGCAGGCAGGGAGAAGCAGGTTGATAAAACAGGGAAGTTATAGCAACTGATCTGAAAATGAGCTAACATTGAAGTCACTGATAAAATAGTTGGGTTTAGAGAAAAAAAAGAGGAAGAAGCAACAGAAGTGTGAGTTAGATATAGTAAAAGACTTAGTCAGCAACAGTTCAACTACTGTGACATGTAACTGTCAGGTGCCCGGTCCCTGGAGTTGAAATTAAAAACTGTGAGCTGAACACCCGTGCTCCTAGTAGAGTTCCTGAGGAGAGTTAAGTGCTTTTAGAAGGCAATCCAAATGTTTTTGTGTTGATCAAGGAGTTTCCTCTATTTAGTCACTAAGAAATACAAGTGCTTGTAATAAAGCATACAATTTGCTTTACAAATGCCTGTTTTTACAAATGCCTAATTCTGTGACCGCGGCTCATAGCAAGTGCCTAAGAGTGAAGCTTCAGTCAGACTCAGTCTTCTGGTTTTTTTGCACCAAGAAATCTCTGTGTAGTTTAGTCCCTGAGTTACACTTGTGGGCGAGTGCGTCCTTTCACCTGGAGTCTGGAATCCGTTCCTGAGAGCAGGCGGCTGCAACTCTTCTGTAAAGGAACTGCATGAGGCATGCAGTGACTGGATTTCTGTGGTTCTCCTTTTGTGGCAACCTTTTGTTTGGTAGGCTGATGGCTAGACACTTGTCCAGCAAGTGGGAGGCTTGGGATCCAAGGCATGCTTCAGCCTGGGATGGTACAGACCAATGTCTCGGTTTTGAGGACAGTGTCCTAAACATCAGTCTGGAGGCTGGAAACACGTGGGATGATAACTTATGCATTCCTTAATGCTGGTTCGCTTAAGCTGTGCAAGAAAAGCAATGCAACTAAATTCAATTGTGGCCTATAGAGTGTTTCACTTGATTGAGAGAGGCTCAGTCCTGTCAATACTTACCAGAGAGAGATATGCTGAAAAATTAGGCACTACACTATCTACTTACTGTATGCATATTTGACTGTTAGACAAAATATAATAGCTAATGTCTTTAGAATTTTCAAGCTGAACAGTAAAGTTGCTTATTGTATGTCATGTCCTTGGGAAAGTATTGTGCTTAAATCCAGAACCATCTCTTTTGACCTCTTCCCTGAGTACATACAATCATTTCTACATATAACCTTTAAAAAAATAAAAGATACGAAAAAATAAAAAAAAGAAGGAAAATACAGGGAGTTCACCATAATGTGAAGGGAAATACAGCGAGATTGTGTTGCAGTTATGGGCTGATATACACAGAAGTGAAGGATAGTGGAGTGACCAAAAACCAAATTTGAACATTCCATTTCAACTGGCTGGAAATCCATGGAGAGTAGTTAGAGACTTTGTTAAGACATGAGGCTCAAAAGTTTAAATAATAAGTACAAAATAATACTATTCATTAAAATGTTTTCTTATTGTTCTTCTGTGGCAAATAATTAATAAAATAAAAAATTGGTATTCTTCTAAATTACTATGTTAAAAATTGGAATACATGCAAAGCAATTAACAATCATTTCTGATACATCATGAGAGCTTCCCACACGTAGATTTAGAAACCTAATCAGCTGCTCTGACTCCTGAGTAATCCCACTTGTTCAGAAATAAAGCTATTTGTAAGGAAAATAGGACTGGTCTCTCTTTTTGTGCCTCCTGAGTAATCCCACTTGTTCAGAAATAAAACTATATGTAAGGAAAATAGGATTGGTCTTTCTCTTTTTGTGCCTTTTTTTATATATTGAATTGGAAATATTTTATTAGTGATGAAATAAATAATATACTTTTAAAATACCTTATTACATTTTATGAAACTAAGATAAAACTGTAAATTCCCCAAATCAATATAATTAAGTGTACATACTGCATCTGCATTATTTGTAAAGTGAATGTATTTTATAAAAGGAGCCCAGTTCCGATCTGTAACCCCACAAATACCTCAGTGCAGTGTTAATGACTCTAGTTAATATTACAGAAGTTCTCCAAGCAACCAGTCCTCCTCCAGTGACCCAGGACCCAGTGGGAGAAGCCAGTGGAGACAGCAAGTAGGATATGACGGGTATTGGTGAATTTTTCTTTTTTTTAAATCGTAGTATAGCTCCCATGCATCTTCTTTCTGAAGCAAAATTTATGTGGATGTTCTATATCATAGAGTTAATTGCAAAATCTGTTGGTATATTTTACGATGTACAGCTTTACTGATCTTTAATGTCACGTGTATGCCAATACGGTTTTAACTCTTTAGGACCAAATTGTTATTTTACAATTCAGATAAATAACAGACAGTTCTTAGGTTTGTTTTCCCTTTTTCAGCTAGTAGCTCAGAACTCAAATAAAATAGTAGTTTCACCTCCTTTTGCTTCAATGGAAGGGTATTTGATGTAAAAAAAAAATCTTTATGGTCTTCAAAAGTTTTATTTCCCACTATGCTTGTTCCAGTGGCATCCATTCCCTGGCATCTCTCCTCAAAAAAGTAGCACTCTTCCAGAGGTCTCTTCTCCCTAAAAGGCAGCTGCAGTATATAGATAGTTCTTTCACATCCCTGTTAATCCCTTCGTGCTGAAGTTTCAAAATCTAGCACTCTCTGTATAAAAGACCACCCAATGTACTGACCATGTTATAAGAATATTATGTGAGATATCTGTTCTACTTTAAATTTATCACTTTGTTGTGTAAATATAGCTGCCAAAATCACTCCTGTTACAAAATGTTGAGCTATGGCAGTATCTACATAGCATCATATAAAAGCATTATAGACTTGCCACTTGGCTTTCAGAAGCTACTTTTCAGAAAAAAAACATGAATATTGAAAACATGAGCTTGACTCCTTGTCTGTAAGCTTAATATTGCTTTGGCATGACTTTGTGGATAAGATATTCCATGTAGCACATACATAGGCAATATCTTTGGAGACTCCTCAAGGAATTTCAGAATACTCAATGAACTCTTTGGCAGCTAAATAGACACTAATAATTCCAATAAAACTATAGCAATTTTTTGGACAGTGAACACGTGACAATGCATCTTGTGTCATTTTCCCATCACACAGTTATTTCTAATAGCAACCTTGGTTTTAGTGTTTTGCTTTGTGAAACAATTTAACTTCTGCAATACAAAACAAAGCAATGGACCTGGTACTAGCTTAGATGTTCCGTGTGTGAAAACCTGCAAAACTACAGAGTTACTTTCTGTGGGGCTTAGTTCATAAAGCAGTTAAGCGTACATTACCATAGTTCTCCATTGCAAAAACCTTTGGATATATAGCCCCAAGAATGCATTTCTTCTTGAAGTTCAGTGTCTTCTTGGCCTGTTCACACTTAAGATATAGCAGCGTGCTGTTGAAAAAATTGCATGTAAATCTTTCCATGCAGTGTTTGGAAATGTTACTATACTTGCTTGGTGGGGGGGATGATGGTTGTTTAAGCAAATCACTTACAAAATATTTGCTTTGAAGAGTAAAAAGTGTTGCTGTTCATTATGTAAATATTTTTCCAGGAAAAAAACCCAAACAGCTCAATTTTCTGCTTACATTAAAAGGTGCCAGTCCCCTTTGCTCCACGAACACCACCAAGGTTCAGGCTCACTGGAGTGTGAAGGAGGCAGAGAACGAGAGGAAACTTTGGAAGGAACTAGACATTCTGGTAATAAAAAACACTATCTTAAAAATAAATGTTCTTTGCAATGCAGTGCCTGTTAAGTGCAGACACTTTCTGATGTGGAGGTTTGATACACAAAGAGCAGGTAATGAGACAATGAAACCGGGGACTGTTAGAGACAGTCTAACAGGGGTGGGATATTTAGGTAATTCTTGGAACAAACTACTCCTGAACTTCAGAAAGCCTCATGAATGATGAAAAGCAGGTGGAACTTCATTTAATTGTCATTGAAAAAACTGGATCTTGGGCAACTCTGCAAAGATACACATCTGTGATTCCAAAGAGTGTACAGGTTTGAAACCTGATGCTAAGCCATGTGCCTTTTTTCTTTGTACAGTATACTCATCTTTTTAGCATTCAGAAATTAAAACACAATTATTTATGGCAGAAACCAAGTGGCATGCACCATCGTCTAAAGTCCTGAGCTCCTACAAAGACCGGGCTTTACAGAAAGAAGGCAGTGGCAAGGAGTCGCCCAACAAACTTTCACATGTAAGTCTTTTACTTGGATGTAATTCTAAACTCTAAGGGAAAGAAAAAAACCAAACAACTGAACAAAGACACCCTTAAAAATACATTTTAGAAATTTATGAAGACCACTGTGTATTTTGGGAGGCAAATAGTATGCTCACCAATTTGTGGGTGAATTGAGTATGCTTAATCTGTGTTTATGAACTAAGAACTCAACAAGGGCTTGGGTTTGGGACATTGAGGAGATGAAACTAGTAAAAAGTGTACATTCAGCTGTGTATTTACCAGCTTCATTTATACTGGCTTGCTTAATCTGTAAAGTATTTTATATCATTTAAAAAAATTATATTCACCGTACCTCTTGTCACATTGTGTGAAATACCAAAGTAGTATAATTATCAATAAGCACTATAAAAATGTCATTTGTATATTGGGAATGCTGAACAGTTTTCCAGTCTACCTAGTTTAGTGGCTTGTCTTCAGTAATGGCAAAATCCTCAGTGACTTAGTGATGGAAAGTACACCAATGATATGCATGGTCTTTTTCTGTTTTTTTGTGTTTGTTACATCGAAAAACCTGCTCTATATAGTAGGAATCTGTACGCTTGTATTAGTAAGAATATGAGGCCAGTTTCTCATCGTATGTACATTGATATCTTATGAGAATCTAGCTTGATACTTCCTGAAAAAAGTACTGTTTTACCCAGAATCATGCTTTAGAATTATGCACATGAAGACAAAAGTACTTTCTTTTACCTTAAGCCTAAATTGACAGGAAGCTATAGCAGTGTGTGTAATGATCAGTATTAAACAGAGCCATACCAAGGTTAAATGATGTGTTTGCTTAACTTCAATCAGAGTTTTATGCTAATGGCAGCTCTCATGCTCTTAGGATGGTGGGGATCTGAAGATAAGATTTCATAATGGACTTATGTTTGTGATTGCCAGTGTATATATATGTGTAGTGCAGGTATATAAGAACTATATCACACAAAGTAAGAACCAGCATTATTATAAAGATAATACTAATAAAATTAGGCTGTTTTGTTGTTGGATGCTGTAAAACAGAAAAAAACATCATCACCTTGTAAATAAGTTTTTAATGTTCTCTTGTGCATCCCCTTTTTGTTCAGCTTAGTTTGCCATATGACTCTCTGCCAACCAGTGAAATGCACACTGAGGGCTACAGCAGATGTACAACAACCCTGTAAAATATTTAACCATTAGAAAAAAAGACTATGCTATCTTTTTATTAGTTTTAGCTTGGGGGAAGGAGGATGGGAGGAACTTCACTGGCTCTCTTCCTGTCTTCAGGCTCTGTTTGTTCTCCTGCAGTAAATATCATATACCTGCTGATGTTTTGTTTTTTTTTATCTTGCTCCATGACACAAGCTTTAACAATGTATAACAATTATGGCCATGCTGATCTTTCATACAATGATTTCTCTTGGCACAAGGAAATGCACACAATGATCTTGAACTGTTGGCACAGCGAACTTTGAGCAGTTCAAAATATCTGTATCAATAGCTCTTGTCCAGTTCTCTGCTGCTTGCAGGATCAGAAGGTGCCTAAGTGTGTACGTTCAGCAACATACAGGAAATTTTTGGGAATGCAATACATTTTCTGAAGTTAATTTTATGCCTTTGTACTTCTCCCCCTGCCACACACACCTTGTTTCTTTCCACTTTGGATCCATTTTACATTTGCAGTGAGAAGTGACATATCTTTTCTCTAAACACCTTTCTCCAAGTCCCTCTCCTTGGAAAAAGTGCTCATTGTATTTTTATCAATTGTTCCATTGTTTCTGAGGTGACAACCATCTTGTAAAGGTTAGAATGAATGAAAATGTTACCCCTCCTTTTTTTTCTAAAATAATTTTCTCAAATTTTGAGGCCTGTTAATTTCCATATGGATAGAGGTATCATTTCTGGAAAGGCTGCCTTGTCTCACTTGCTTTAATGTATGAGCAACAGCTATGTTTGTATGTATGTGCTAGGAGGGGCATCTTATAAAAAAGTGAGTCACCCTTCCCGCTTACATTCTACCTAATAGAAGTCCATGTGCCCTTATTCTGGCCACTCTGTCACATAGATAAATTAATCCAATTTTTTGTAAAATCTCTTAAAAAAACCCAACAAAACCCCCCAACTTTATTGACACAAATGCCTGACATAATTATTCCACTTCAATAGCCGTGCTTAGCTTAGAGCCTTAAGTTACTTTCATCTGGTACACATACATTGCAATTGGCTTCAATTTAACTAGCCACACGTCCAATTGGATTTAATCCAATAAGATGCATATTTCACCCACACTGAGAAAAAACCAAGGATAATTCAGTCTTCAGTGTTTTTCAGATTCACAGTAGAATGTGAGATTGTGAGAGGGACCTGGGGGTCCTGGTGGACAGCAGGATGACCATGAGCCAGCACTGTGCCCTCGTGGCCAAGAAGGCCAATGGCATCCTGGGGTGTATCAGAAGGGGGGTGGTCAGTAGGTCGAGAGAGGTTCTCCTCCCCCTCTACTCTGCCCTGGTGAGACCGCATCTGGAATATTGTGTCCAGTTCTGGGACCCTCAGTTCAAGAGGGACAGGGAACTGCTGGAGAGAGTCCAGCGCAGAGCCACAAAGATGATTAAGGGAATGGAGCATCTCCCTTATGAGGAAAGGCTGAGGGAGCTGGGTCTCTTTAGCCTGGAAAAGAGGAGACTGAGGGGTGACCTAATTAATGTTTATAAATACGTGAAGGGTGAGTGTCAGGAGGATGGAGCCAGGCTCTTCTCTGTGACATCTAGTGATAGGACAAGGGGCAATGGGTTCAAGCTGGAACGTAGGAGGTTCCACTTGAATATGAGAAAAAACTTCTTCACGGTGAGGGTGACAGAGCACTGGAACAGGCTGCCCAGAGAGGTTGTGGAGGCTCCTTCTCTGGAGACATTCAAAGCCCGCCTGGATGCGTTCCTGTGTGATCTGATCTAGGTGTTCCTGCTCCGGCAGGGGGATTGGACTAGGTGATCTTTCGAGGTCCCTTCCAATCTCTAACTCTCTGTGATTCTGTGACTTTTAGCTTTAACAAATGCTTATTTTAACTGTTCAGAAATGCAATTTTATGGATAGTCCTATAAACAGAAAATTCAAATGTGATCTTAAGATTTGCCATAGAAGATGGAACTGGAGCCTTTTTATTTGCGGTGACATTCACCTTTAATGTGTCTAGCCAGTTGTGCAATTCATTTGATAGAAACTGGTGTTATAATTAGCTCTTTTTATACTTTGCAGTTATAGCACACTGTAAAAAAATTAATAAAATGGTTTTGAATTGCACAAATTCAGCAATTTATATAAAAAGAAATATTTTGCTATTTAACTTGAGGAGGATCTTTTTTTGCTTGTTTTCTCTTTGTTAAGATTGGTGACAAAAGCTGTTCAAGCCACTCAAGCAGCAACACCCTATCCAGTAATACATCCAGCAATAGTGACGAAAAACACTTTGGTTCTGGAGATCTGATGGATCCTGAGCTGCTTGGGTTAACGTACATAAAGGGCGCTTCTACTGACAGTGGAATTGATACAGCTCCCTGCATGCCTGCTCCTCTTCTGGCCCCTTTGCACCTCGCTGGCAGCAGGTCCGGAGTACATTGCCGTACTGAGCAGTGGACCGAATCTTCTGAAACTCCTGGGCCAGATGATGATCCAGCTAAAATCTATGCTGTTCATAGCTATGCCTCTGCTATTTCTACCAGTCATACAGCTGAAGGCAGTATGGGAGACCTAAGTGAAATCTCCTCTCACTCCAGGTATGTTTCTTACAAATTAGGGATTACGCATTATAGATTAACATAGAGGGAACTGGTTTTCATTGTTGGTATTCTGCTTAGCTTTCGTTGAAAGTGCACTGAACCAATTTTTTTTGTTTTGTTGTATGTAAATGCCTATATGAGCAATTTTCAGGCAATTTTTGATGAGTCTACCTAAAAAGCATAGCTAGCCTTACTCCTAGATCTGATGGAGACTTTATATGTGGCCTTGTGCACATTGCTTAGGCTTTTAAAGTTGGGAAACATCTGTGAGTAAGAGTGAAGTCTGCACCTAAAATTATTTCATGAAACCTTTTTTTAGTACAGTGCAACAGATTACCCAGCAGTTAATGCTGAGGGAAATCAGAGAAATTGCAATGGACAATTTTGACATAAAGGGATGGACGATTTTTACAAGTAGTGAAACTGCATTGCATACCATTCCCCTAATTTACATTATTTTGATGTATGCTTTACAATTTTGTTTGTTGAACAGAATTTCTGATTGATGTTCAGCTCTTCTTTCTGTTAGCAGTGGAATGCGTGCATGGTACATCTGTTGTAAAGCAAACTTTTGAAAGTACACTTTTACAGCTGGTTGCCTTTATCTCTCAGTTCCCATTTTATGGTGACTTTGAAGCTGAAGCTTTGGTCTCTGTGTTAAGGCTTTTACTCTGTAAAGTATGGAAGGAATTTTTTTGTTCTTCCTTTCTTCTAATTTTTATGTTTTCAATGTCAATCAGTACAGGAAAATAACCAAATAATAGTCTGTATCTTCATTTCTTTATATGCTTGACATGAGTGAATTAGTCTTGTATGCTTGCTCTGACTTCTAGATTTTTTTTTTTGACAAGTTGTAGAAGATAGTGTAGATTATTGTATAGGCTATTGTGAAAACTAGGTAAATGCTTTCATATTTTCACTACCCCCGTGATAATGTAGACACTCCAGATTTACTTTGCTTTATGTGTGTTGAGATTTAATTTTATATATTGAGACTTCTACAGTGCTAGAAATAAGCTCAGAGCTTCTAGGACATCATCATTATGAGCTGAAATAGATTTCTAATGGCTAGAATATGTATTCACAGCACTTGGTGTGGCAGCTGTCATGTTTAAAGTGCCAGGCAGCCATTGAGTGATATGCTGCTCACTTCTGTGGAATAAACATTTTATGGATTAATTAAAAATAAAAAAAAAAAAAATAGAGATTTTAAGGGATTTACCCAGGCATTTCAAAAATAGTAATTGTAGTTGAGATGACAGCTCACGTTAGGATTGCCCAATTCCACTTTGGCAATAGCAGTGTTTTCAAGTGATAACCTTCTAATCTGTTTGCCAAATACTTTTGCTGTAGAAATATGTCAGAGTTGTGTTTTATGACCAAACTGTTTTATTTGAACTTTGATTAAATGTCTTTCAAATCATGTTGGAGTAATAAATAATTTTGCAGTTGGGTTTAAAAGCTGGTATCACCTACATAGCACCCACAGTCGTACATTAGTGATAAAAATCTCATTTTGTAGCTGTGATGCTGCAACAATGACATGTTCAAATAGACATAAGAAAGTTGAGTTAACATATAAGTATGTGATATCTACTGCTGAATCCTATATGTATTTTCCAGCTGGTCTGACAGCGAGTTTGTATTTCTTCTTAATCTGTAACAAATTCTGACACTATTGAGGCATTAATTCACAATTATTTTATTAATATTAAGTAGTAAATTTGTTCTGTCATATCTAAACAGTGTAAAACTTCAGGAAACTACCCACAGACTGGTGGAAAGTAATTGATCTATAAATGCAGCATTTCTTTATTAAAATTGTATTCTGTTTACTGAATAGATAAAGTGTAATGCACAGGAAAGATGTTGGTTGGTTGAAAGATACTGGCCTGATTCTCTAATACCATCAGATGAAGAACCTCCTGAAAAAATTCAATGTTATAGGGTCTGAGTAAGACTTACAGAATTAAACCTGCTGTGTGAAACAGTATCTCAAACTACAAGACTAACTTGACCTATGTACAATGTTATGTCTCACAGCTCTGTTATTAGTGGTTTTAGCTCTCTTATTTTATGTTAATTATGCACATGAATTACCAAATACCTTCATGTTATGTAGCTGAAACAGCTTATCTTCATTGCTTTTAGTTTTGCTTTATTTCTTACATAGACCATCTTTTGAATCCTAAAAATATATACTGTGTTCCAACTGTCCAACCATGAACTCACTATCCAGTACCAAGCTTTTATAGGCATTTTATTTCTTTACTTCAAAAAATATTCCCGTATTTAAAACCTACAGAATGAAGTTGAATGCCCAGTTTTTCTTAAATTTAGTTATAGAAATCTAAAATCCTCTGTATAATGTCCTTGCTGTTGATCTGATATGTATTTTACATTGTGCTTCAATGTTTACTTCATCTTTAGATTTCAATGTGTCATAACTGGCCATCTTTACATCATTTCTTTGCATATTTGCAAGGAGAGCAAGAAAAAAAGGGCTTTTAACTTTTTAAGCTTTTTAAAATTTATTTTAATAAATTGTTTGTACGATTAATTGCACCTACTAACTGTGATCAAAATTATTAATCCATTGCCTTAATGATTCAACTTTCTTCCACAGTAGGCATTTTAGTTTGATCTAATGACATTTATGCTTGTGTGTTGCTTGTATTTGACTCTGCATGGACAGCAAAGTAGACATGTCTGTTACACTTTCAGCAATGCCTTCTGGTCCTCTGTAAATTAATCCAGTGCTTTTGGGATTAGATTAAAAGATAGCATTTGGTATTTGTAGACCAACAATGAAGGTTAAGAGCTGCTGCTTCAAGTTCCAGCCTCTGATTTTAGGCAAGGTACTTGGTTTATGGCTTCGGTTACTTCCCTGCAAGATGAAAAGAAGAAATTATTCTTCAGTGAAGTGTTTGCTTTAGTTTATTTTAAATAATTTTGAGAGTCTTCAGTAAAAGGTTTCATTAGTCCCTACGAGTGCTATTATTCATAATAGAAGAGGCTATTAAAATTATCCAGAGGACTGTTTTTGTTAAACTGAAATTTACTTCTGTTAATATTAAATTCTCAGTGGTACTGAATGAAAGACACAGTTTAAACTTGCACGAAATGATAAAATTAACATGACGTGGAAAAGCACAGAAGTTTATGATTGGAGAAATATTTGGTGTAATTCCCTATGTAGTTCTTGATTTAAGAGGAATTATACTGTTAATAATGTGTATGCACATACTTACTTAAAATTACATGCCCAGATTCTATGTATATGTCTTTAACTTCATCTTTTAATTTTAATCCCTATCAGTTTGCATTAGCATTTCAGCAAGTTGAATTATATAAATTACTTGTTTTAGAAACTTATCACAGTTCTGTTCTCAAAGAGCTTTAATGTATATGCTGCTGGTATGTAGAAAATTACTCTACCAATATCGCTCCCTTGATTTTAACCTGGAGAAAAATTTAACCTTAAGAATTATAGCTGCGTATCAGGTGAAGCGTTTCTGATTTGTGGTTATATAGCAGATTTCATTTGTTGCTTTTGTATGTTTTCTTTACTTTTGCAGTGGGTCACATCATTCAGGAAGCCCATCAACACATTGCTCTAAAAAGAGTGGCTCCCTGGATACCTCCAAAGTCTATATAGTGTCGCAGAATAGTGGTCAACAGGTTGGGTCAGTTTCAAAACCGTACCACAGGCAAGGAGCAGTGAGTAAATATGTCATTGGATGGAAAAAATCGGAAGGAAGTCCTACACCTGAAGAATCTGAAGTTTCTGAATGCCATGAGTAAGAAGTCTGTTTAGCTTTCTTGGGGGAAAAAGGGTAATGAAAATAAATTCTAAAATAATATAGAAAAATGAAAAATTACTAACTCTCTCACTTTTAATTGTGTCTTTATGTGTCAGACATATATCCAGCAATAGAAAAAAAGACAATAACTTCAGGATACTGTTTTCTCCTCTGTTCTATCCAGCTGGTTTTTTTTCCCATGTGTCAAGTAAAGCAAGGTGATAGAAATTTCTGAAAGCGTGTGTATGCAAAAATGCATGTGTTATTCTGAATTTAAATTTTCAATCTCTAGGAAATAATTGAGAAGCTACAGTTTTATTAAGGTCCTAAAGACCTTTTCTGTTAATCTACAGGAACTTTAGTTAGTTGGAAAAAGCTTACTTCCTGACGTTTCTGTATTAAACTTCACTACTTTGGTACCTTTTACATCAGCTAATACGTGACAGATGAGAGAGATGACCATAAACTTATCAGTGACCTCTGTCAGACTGTTAAGAAAAAGTAGTGCCAGCTGGAAGTATTCTAGTGGTTCTTTGGTATTTTTTTATTTTTTTAGCAAGTGACATTTAGACAAAAATATTCAGAGTGGTTCTAACAAATAGCCATATGTACAGCTTAATGCAGGCATAGCTCATGAGGAGTGTGTTCTTAGGTGAAAGAAAAAGGCTTGCTCTCAAAGGAAAAGATGCAGTATCTCAAATGTAGATAGAGAATACTTTCCCAGTGCTGCAGCAGTCAGAAGTAGTGTTCGAATCAACTATTTGAAACTACCTTTAAATTCCTGTTATCTTCAAAATCATCTTGTCTGATAAGCTCCTTGCTTTCTTTTTGTGTGTGAGTTCTGTCTCTCAGTAAATCATAGTCAGCCCTTTGTATCTCGATACATTGAAAAGATGACATACAGTACCTGATTTTCAAATCTTTAGTGTAGGATTACTCTTTGTTTAATGGGAATGGGTTATTTGCACCTAATATCTCATATTGCATATATATGCATATTTATCATAAGATTAATATTTTAAACTATAATCTAGAATGTATGTACTATGATATATCAGCCTGAAGTTAAGCTCTTAACTTCCTGATTTTCAAAAGTAGAAGATGCTACTATCTTCCTGGTTATTGTACTGGTGATTTCATTTTTTTTTCCCTCCAATGTTTTAATTGCTTAAATTGTTCAGTTGTAGTAGTATTGCACTTAAAAAGTGGTAACTTCATTGATTCCCACAAATTTTTTCCATTTTGAATTTGTTGAACTCCTGAAACGATTTCTCTTTATTTTGAAGGGAACTCTTAAAACAAAATTCCCAAATGCATCATGTAATTTAGACTGAAACCATGTCAATTTAGAAAAGTGTCTTCAAGAGCTAGTTCTATTTAAGAAATATTAATTGAATATGGCAGCACTTCATGTATCAGAAAATATTTTCATATTTTTCTGTGGCATAGAGCATTGCTTTGCCCCTTTCTTTCTAGGAAAGCTTTCTATACATCACAGAGGGGAGATGTCTCTCTAAGGATAATTATGTTGAAATAAAATATCTCTAATTAGCAGTGATGATGAAAATCAGGTCAATTGCTGAATGTTGTGCCACTGTAGGATATAATTCACTGAGAATTACACTTAACTGTAGCAAAGCTTGTTTCCTCTCTGCTGAAGATGGAGTCACTGATTATGCTGCTCTTGGCAGTAGGTAATGGCTTCAAATGTATGTTCTGTGGGATTGTGAATCTCCGGTTCCTTCAACTGCATTTCCAGAGTAAACTGTTACAATTATCTCTCTAACCTTTCTCACTGGAAGGAAGCTGAAAGATAATAATTCAGTTTGGCAGTCTTTGTTGACTGTAAATACATTTTTATATGCTGATAATTAAGGAAGACAGCTGTTTTATTTACTTAAAGAGCTTTGTGAAATTGTTGATAATAAAACATACTTGGCACATGGCACAATTGATTACAAATGCACTTCAAACATTGCCATTGATGACCCCAGTAATTTTGCCAGATTGTGAAGCTGGATGTAATATCACATTATATAATATTGATTTGTCTTACTTACTAAGGAAGTAAAAGTTAAAATATTTTGTGGTGAACTATTGGAAATGTTGTTGTAAATACAACTTTAACAATAGAGAAGTGTTGTGTGTAAAAAAAAAAAAAAAGAGAGAGGCAAGCTAGGAGAAACGCGCATTATGCAGTGGTTTAAGAATTTTTTTTGGACCCACAAACAGTTTCATGAATATAAAACTATTGAAAAATGTTCTAAAGAAGAATGTGTGGTGTCAGGAGATAATTCTAGCAATTTTTACTTTGTGACTGAAAATGAATGCAGTCTTTCAAGTCCAAGGGCACTATTGCTTCTCTTACTAAAAACACCAATTGTCTCAACAGAGTGTATGATGATATTGATGCTGTGGCTGCATCGAGGCCCCTCCCAACTTCCGTGCGGAATGCCGTTTTTTTTTTTTTGTCCAAAGATGATTTTCTGAAGCTGATGCTGCCAGACAGTTTCTCTGTGGAGGAGGGGAGAAGAAGGGTTAGCTACTTTCTTTGATTCTTTGTATCTCAGACACAGTTACCTTAGAAATGAATTTCTGGTATTCCAAAATTGCTACAGAGAAGGCAATTTCATTTTGTACAAGCTAAGTATATTCCATGGGGATGCTATAAATACTGACCATAAGTCCCAAAGTCTCTTTCCCCACAATATAAAATAAGTATCCAGTTTGACGATTATGTATGAAATACAGTATTTGTTTAAGTGTATCTTTGCTTAACTGGAGCAGAGACAGGTGCAGGTTGAGCAACTTAACTATAATTATGAAGGTTAAAAGTAACGTTTTCAAGGTTGGATGCCTACGTTTATACACCTCATATAGTATTAAGGCACATGAATAAAAGTAGCCTGCTTTCCCCTGCCCTGTGATACTCAGTACCAACAATACTGTTTGAAGTCCGAATCACTGTTTCATGTAGGTGTCAGTGGCAACTGCTCAGAAGGCTAGTGGAGAGCCTACATCTGATCTTTATAGTATGAAGACAATCAGTAATATTTAAAAGTTTACAAAAAGTGGATAGAGAACATAAAATTTACTACTCCCCAAAGTATACATGATTCTGAATTCTGTGCTTAATGTGGAATAAAGCAGAAAGCAATTAAATTACTTGAGATAATTGTCACACTTTGATATTTACTCAATGATCTCTTAACCCACCCATGTGTTTATACAATGTGCTAAATAGCATCATCATCACATCTGAACAAAAGGAACACATGTGAATCCTCTAAGTGCAGAGTTGAATTTAAAATTTGGATAATATATACTTTTTTAAAGTACAGTATGTTAAATATGTTATATGTGTTTGAATTTTCATGAATAATGTCCTAGAGGTTTTTATGATTGATACAATGATTGGTTTTCTGTGATGATTTCAAGAGCTGCCAATATTTCTGGCTACCTAAATAAGGAAACAAGAAGGAGTGAGGAGGTGTGGCCATCCTGAGATAAACTACTGCTGTCCCTTCTCCCCGCAAGACTCCCAAACAAAAGCTCACTGAGTGTGAGGGGCCATATGCCTGACTGACAGGGGATCCCCAGCCATAGGATTCAACAGCATCCAGTCTTTGATTATGCTTTCATAGAGGGCAGTAATCTTGGTATAGGCGAGTCAGTTGTCTTTGACAGCGAAGCCATGAAAGAATTTTCTGAATATATAAGATTCTACAGAATTAAATCACATTTTTAGTTTGGTTTGCTTTTACGTTATTCATAGATCAGGGAGTAATGAGCCCTCTAGGTAATGTTTAATTTTTGTCACACTCTGAAATGGAACTTTGTAAAGCTCCAACAATTAACATTCAACATGTTTGGATAACTATTGACCAACCTTTTTAAACAGAAGATGCAGTAAAAGGTTGGGACACTTGAGTAACAGCCAAGAATTGCAGCAGGATGCTTGCTGGGAATCTCAAGTGCAGGAAAGAGGATCAGAGACCCTTACATTTAGAGGGTGAAGGTTTTTAATCACTTGCCCAGCGTGGTCCCTAATTATGCTCAGGGTCTTTTCATGTTCTTTAAGCACTGCTTATAGAAGTGTACCATATATCCATTCATTTAAGGATGCTGTGTATGTCCTCTATCCATTAATTTAGGGTTGCTGCTTATGTCCATTGCTGTGATTCTTTTATGTGTGTGTTAAAGTTTTGGATTATGTTTATTCCCATGGCCCATATCTATTTCAGGAAAATCTCTAGAACTGATGGAGTATTTTGATGCTTTCCTAGATTAGAATCCAAATATCTCACTCGATTTTCTCTGGGATGTAGTTAAGCATTCTAACGATAGAGCATGTTCAGTATTGTCATCAAGACAGATCCTTTCCTGAAGTAGCACTATGAAGTGTATTTTAGTATTTTGTAAAGACTGTGTCTTGTGGCATGATTGAGTAGTTCTGTATGTTCCTTTTAGAAGTATTCATCAGTGAGCAAGTTTTGTCAGAAATACAGCAATGTAGATATATTTTATTCTATGCAATATTCACTATTTTGAAAAACTATCACTCTTAAGCATACATTCTGCACAGGGTGTGTGCAACTCATAATCAATTACAAAGAAAATAGGACAGGACACAGTTAGAATAATTAAGGCAATAACTGACCTTTGTAGATGTAAAGAATAACTGCATTTGCAGTGCTGAAGGACTTATGAAGTGAAATTGCCCAGTTTTACAATACAGTAACATCTTGTTTTACTGTAGATATTTGGGTTGTGGTTTAAGTAACTTTTTGAAAAGTATCAACAGTTTTCACAGAACTCTATTATCCTCTTTTCTAAGCCTATTTTGTGGTATCTGGAGAGATGCAGTGTCTCAAGTCACTTTTATCATCCAATGAGTTATATTGCACCATATATCGGTTCAGAATGTTTTATATTAAAGTGTAGTGATTTCAAATTAAAATCAAACAGTACTATGTATAGTCTTGAATAAATGTTGTCAGAGTTGGTAACCTCATATATATTTCTGGAAAACATTGCTGTCATAAAGCTATGGAGGTTTCATTTAACATTTCAGAATTAATAAAACTACAGTATCTGATTAATTCACGGTGATATGTTCCAAAATATCAAGAGGAAGGATGAAAATGCAATTCAGCAACTCTTTTGAGACCCTAGTAGATCTGATATGCGGAAACAAATCTCTGATCTTCTGTATTAGCTCAAGAATTCCAGAATGCCTGTCCAGAAAAGTACTCCCAAGAACTGATGATGGATTATGATTGTGTGAATTATTTGACCAGTAATGTGTGTTCTTGTATCTTCATATTTGCTGTTTAGTTTTCATTTTATGGAAACCTTTCTCCACGGAAGACACTTTATCGTACCCTATCTGATGAGAGTATATGTAGCAATCGGAGAGGATCTTCATATGCTAGCTCTCGAAGTTCAATGCTAGACCAGGCCTTGCCAAATGATATCTTATTCAGCACTACTCCACCTTATCACAGCACATTGCCTCCCAGAATGAGCCTGACTCCTGGAATGGGAAATCTGAGAAGTAAGTGATTGTTGCTGTCATTGTTGAGTTTGGAATTCTTGTGATAAACTCTAACAAATATTAAGTAAAATCTACTTTTAAGGTGAAATTATGAAATGCCAAATCAGTGTTCTACATATCCTAGAAAAGCATATTTGGTCAGTAGTACGTGCCTCAGTGATTAATTCAGGTTTATCACGTTTGGAGAAAGCACTCATTTTTTTTCCCGAAAAAACTTTCATGAGACCAGTGACAGGCAGCAATTGTTATAGTTTTTTTTTTTTCCAGTGGTGACCTAATTTAGCCACTGGCCTGTTTTGTTTAAATATTTTTATTTGCTTATTCTTTGTGTGCGCTCAAATTAGTGAAATATGCATTAATATCTTCAATAAAATAGCTGAATGGGACAACTTCTGTTTAGATCATCCTTTTGGTAACGTCTTGAAAGGAAATGTGCAGTAGTTGTCGTCATCATCTCCAATTTGAAAACTGAATTTGCTGATAATTTTATTTTAACTTGTTACTAAAGCCTTTACAAATAACACTTCATTTTTAATATCAGAAAAAAGAGTAGTCTGGGGTGCTAAGCTAAAATTATTTTATGAAGCTGTTTCCTCACTTATGAGGTCCTCATAAGGAAGATCTTTATTATATTATTGTCTTTCAATAATTCCACTATGGAGAGATGAACTGTAAAGTTTGTAGTAGTTTTATGGAAAATATGGAATTAAGATTTAAAAAAAAAGGAAATTGTGAAAAATATACATGCTTCTATAACACAGCTCAAATCTAGGCAGCCAGATACATGTATTCAATCTACATATACTTAAAAATAGTGAATTGGTTTTTTAAAAAATGTGAGATTTCTTCACTTCTCTATTGTTTCAGGCTGACCTATAGGGGACACCCAAGCCAGGTGCTTTTAGTTAGCTACTTTAATATTGCATCACAGCTGACCACAATTTAAAAAACTAGTAGAGCAACTGTGGACTCTGAAGTCCCTAGTTAAGAAGCTGTGGGTGGATTTCATGAAAGCATTAAGAACTTTTGTAGGTGCACGTCCAGCAAGAATGCAGACAGATAAATAATAATAAAAAGGGCTCTGTCATTCACCAGGTCCTTCAGGAACTAGCAGTGACTTGCTAACTTTCAGAAGTAAGGCTTATATACAAAACACTTCTAGTTGTAGTGGTCTCAGCTGTGAGACTGAGTTTTAGTGGCTAACCACTGGTTAATTTTAAACTGGTATTGCGAACAAGTGCTAAATTCCTGCTTCAGATGGGAATGCATGCTTGGTGTACCTTCTGCCATTCTAAAAATATTCTTCCATCAGAGTGAAACTCTTTACTATAAGTTTAGTATTAAAAGATCCTTTGCTTTTAGTGATAGAGAATGAAGACACATTTTGTGTAATTTGGGACTAATTTGGTAGATGTTGTAGTCTATGAAGGAGCTACATATATAATCAGGCATCCTGACTGTATTTTTTCTTTTTCTTTTACTATGTTAGGCCTCTGTTCTTAGAAACATTTCTTGTAAAGGTGAACATGCAATGGGATTGAACCTTCAGCATGCTTTTACTCTGGAGATTGTCACAAGGCAGTTAATGGTGTGCACTCAACCTGTATACTGCTCCTCCAGCAGGGAAATTTTAGTGTTTTGTGTATTAGTTCTGTTCTACATAGCTGGAAAAAAACATGCAACTGGTATCCTGTCAGTCAAAATGAAGCTGATTGTTGATATCCAGGGTAGTTCATGCTATTTTCATATACAACCTCTATTGTCTGCTTCTAGTTTTGTAGTATCCAAGCCCTTTTCAGTGCCAGCAATATAGGGTCTTTTCTGATGGCTCTTTCAAGGAAAATTTAATTGGTTATCTGTAATTACACTCTGAAAACAAAACACATCATGACCTGCCCACCTTTGCTTTCAAAATAAGGTTAGTCAGTATCTCCATATAAGAATCTAACTTTGACTCTTGTTAGGAAGGTTTTTGTAGTCAGTTTTCTAGCATGCCATACATGGTTGCAGGTATTTACATTCTGTAGCGGTGGTGATGTGAGAGGTTTCTTTTTCATTTGTAATTTTTGTTTGAGGTTGTGGTTTCACATATCAGGATTCTTAGCTATCATAGTAGTGTCTTTTGTAAAATACATATGTTTGTGATCTTAAAACATTTTAATTTACAGATATTTAATGTGAATAATCAGCGAAAATAGTGTGGTTCTGTCTGGAATTCATTTTAGAAGGGGACATTCTTGCATGTTATTACCCAGCATGTGGTACATGAAATATTGTGGCAGCATCAAATCTCATGAGACCTCTCTAGAAAGGAAAAGAGAGTGATTCATAGGTACACAAGACAGCCTGAAAACCAGAGCATAATAGGTAACCTGAACAGTTTCGGTTTACTGGGAAATCAGAATTATCAGATAGAATGACCATGCAAATATAGAAACAGAAACTTCAACTGAATGCAGTGTGGACTGTGGGAAGGAGATGAGAAAATGAAACCGTAGGATTTTTTTTATTATTTTATCACTGGAGGAAATTAAGTGGGGAAAAAAAAATTGCTTTCAGGAAAACCTGAATTGCAGGTTCTGACAGTTGAGTGCTGTTCATTGCACACAGTACACAAATGTAGAAAGATTTATTTAATTTTATCTTATAAATCAGTAGGATGGGTGACAATGGGCTCCTGTGAACCTCATGAAGTTCAGCAAGGGCAAGTGCAAGGTCCTGCACAGGGGTTAGGACAATCCCAAGCACAAATACAGTCTGGGAAGAGAATGGATTGAGAGCAGTCCTGAAGAGAAGGACTTGGGGGTGCTGGTTGATGAGAAGCTGAACATGACCTGGAAATGTGCATTTGCAGCCCAGAAAGCCAACCGTGTCCTCGGCTGCATCAAAAGAAGCATTAGCAGCAGGTTGAAGGAGGTGATTCTCCCCCTCTACTTCGCTCTCATGAGACCCCACCTGCAGTACTGCATCCAGCTCTGGAGTCCTCAGCA